CTGTCTTAACCATTTACTTATTCAACCCAGGTGAAGGACTTTGTAAAAAGTCGGCTGTGGAAGATTGTGAAGCTGCTGGCCACATACCTCAGTGGCCTTGATGAATGGTATCCTTATGATGTATCCATGAATATCATCAGAAACTCACATTATCCCAGAATTCATGAAGACTGTGAGCCTAATGAGGTATTGATTGTTTAGTAATAAATTTATTGTTACTGAATATCTTCAATCTACATGTTTGTAAACTACACATCTTATTACTGGTATAATTATTGTTATCACTCTGTGAGGCATTATGGCACATTTTTCAGGCTATAATGGAGAGTTTGGCATTTTAGCCTGCTCACATGCTTGAATGATTGTTCAGACTGCTTTGTCATTGTTATTATTATTTTTTTCAATTCTTATTTCCTCAGTGCCCTCCAAAGTGATAATACTAAACTAGCAGGACAGTTTATGTTCTTGGGCATACACTAGATATGGTTTTAGGCCCTTCCCAGAGCACATTTTTACTCTCGCTGAACAACTCTGGCTGAAATTACCCTAATTTGGTCCCAAAACATATTTATGCCCACAAACATAAACTCTATTGTTTTGTTATTTGTGAATTAGTCCTGAACAAGATGTTCCAGAAGGGGAAAGGGGTCCCACAGTAGTGCTACATTAATCCATGTATCACTTTTTTTCATGACATAGAGGAGCTCACTCCATGTCAAGAAAAATTGTTGAAAGAGAGATCATACACACCACAGGACCCCCCTGGCTATACCTGTAGCTCGTGCGAGGTTTTATGAAGAGGAGAGGTTTGGAGGGACAAATGAGTGAAAAAAACTGGAAGTAGGGCGGAAAAAGATTGATTTAATGAGAACATTTCAAAGGCCCCTTCCTCTTGTTTCTTACTTATGTAAGGTCAGGCACTATTTTGATTCCTTTTTTGCAACAAGCGAAGCTACATATACCTTTCAGTTGAATAAGTCTACAAAATAGAGAGAAAGAAGTGACAGCCAATTATGAACCAAGAAGGAACAGAGATGGCTTAAAATGGCGAAGATTATATTCAAAAGTTAAAATCAAATGTATACAGTTTTTTTTTTTTTTCAAGATGGACAAACCGTGATGTAGCATCTATAAGATAATTATGGCGTTCTTTTGCAATGCAGCATGAATACACCTTTCTCTTGTACCTGACCCCTGACTGGGAGGCAAATAACTATGGAGAAACCGCATTTTTCGAGGAGGTTTTATCTCAAGACGGAACACCGAACCCCCCTGGACAACAACAGTACGAATGGATTGCTTCTGTACGTCCACGATACGGAAGAATTGTAATATTCCGAGGAATCATACCTCACTCAGCCAGACCACCGAGCCCTGGGTTTAGTGGGGCACGGTACACTTTTGCTTGTAAGGTGAGAAGGCTTTTGGTTGTTTGTTGACTTGTTCGTTTTGTTTTGTTTTGTTTTGTTATGTTTTTGATCACCTTTGAACGTTTCAGGGTGGTGGGTAAGATTTCCCGAAAGAGTGGTGGGGGGGAGGGCGTGACGCTAACGAAAAAACTCTGAGCGCTTTTCCACGACTAAACCAAACTAAACTAAGCACAACAAACCAATCTGAACAGGGAACGCATCTCAAAAAAGCGGCGAGGACTCAAAGAAAATACATGTAACCAACTTCAACTAAGAGCAATCGCTGCTCTTGGGCGAAGTCCGTCGGGCGGGTAAAAAAAAAAGAAAATAGAAACGCTCATGAAAAGGCAAAAAAATATATTTCTCTGTTTCTTTAGCGAGCTCAAAAACTAACCATCTTTCTTATTCTGTTAAAAAAAATGTTAGCGCGCCGTGAAACCTTCTTTTTGTGACTCGTGCGACGGACTTCGCCGAAAAGCAGCGACTGATCGTAGTCTATAGTAATACTAGATTGTTTGCTTGGTTCAATGAGAGTAGCCCTGAAAAGGACTGTTATCAGTGCCAATTACTGACATTTGGACAACCTGCGGTATTCAAGATTAGAGACAAGAGAGGAGTTGTTTGTCAGTCGAGTGACAGAAGTAGACAAATTGCATGAGGTAAAACCAGTGCGAACTCGGGTAACTTTCGACACTCAGTTATAAACTAAAGTCTTATCTAAAACGTAAATTTGTCCACTGGTAGGTTGCTCGCAACTACCTTTTAGCAATGTCAAAGTCTCTGCGAGAAACACTGGAATATCTGGAAATGGGAAATATTGACGATCCAGCGGCACAAGAACTGTTAAGTGATCTGATGGCGGATGAGGAAGACAGACCACCCTTATCGATCGAGTTTATTGAAAAACAGCTCGAACATCATCGGCGAAAGAAGGAAGAAATGTTTGAAGGACTTCGGAACTCTGCCATAGAGAAAATATCTGAGCCCAATGCGCCTCTTAAAGATGAACTTTGAATGCAAAATTATACAAAGCAAAGTTCATTCAAGTTTTATTTAAATCTTAGATTCGATTGTATTTAATAGGAAGCTAAAACGTAAAAAATAAGTTCTTAGAGTAAAATACATTGAACAAGAATAACTCCAATGCTGTAATGAAAAATGTCACTTAGTTTAAGGGAGGTTGACAGGCTATGAGGGAAAGAAAAACAAAGTGCAACCAAGGCATGTGTGATTCTATGCTAGATTCTCAGCACTAACATTGTAACAAAAATATGAACTGATCATTAGGGAGATTTACGATGGAGATCTTGGCGGTAAAAGGGTCAAGGTATAAATTTTCAAAGGGTGCAATACCACAAATGGCGTTGCACGAATTGCAGTACAAAAGTATGTAACGTTCGAACGAATGAATTCAGTGTCTCTTTACCCATAGCGTTTGAACAAAGACTGACTCTGATCTTCATACATGGGTGTTGAAAACCGAGGGTACGTGAAACAAGATATTTATGAGAGTTTTGTCGACACTTTAAAAGGGAAGCATGCTACAGGATCCTCTTTTTAAAAGTATATGAAATGCCAGCGCGTTTCAGAATCGCACGAAAACTTGTTTTCAATAAGGTTGCTGTATACAACTTAAAGCAATTTTAGGTATTGTCACTGAAGTTAAATTATTCATTCCAAGGTGTAGGCAGAAAAATTGGGGATATCAGTACTCCCTACAATGTCCCTGGCCAAGCCTGTAAGAAAACAACTGATGGTCAATGCCAAAGTAGTTATTACACATGTTACAAAGTATTTATTCTGCAATATTTAACTTAGTTTTCAACCGTTACTCACATACAATTTTGTTTCTTTACACTTAAATTATCCAAATTTAACCTCATTCGCCGACATCGGTCCAATTTGAGGTGTGATTAAATTTCGTCAAACTTTATCCAAGGGATAGCGCTTTTTTTCATTTAACTTGTTGACGCAGGTTATTCTATTTTCACTGCTTTACCAAAGTGGCTTACATTTGTTTCGATTTTTAGAATGTTTGCAATATATTTTGCTGAGTTCTAACCTTACAGGATGAAATCGTAAATTCCAACCTCGCTCAAGAATTTTACATTACTTTCAATATCTATCGATTAATAATGTAGATTAAAAAAATTATTAACAAGCGCGGATAGAGGCCAGCTCTATGTAAAAGCCTTTTCTTTTGGTTCTTGAGTGTCGTCGCTTCTTTCCAAGCTTCTGAGAAAATTGTTTATCTTTTCCTGAAGAGTACAGTCCATGCCGTCAACAACATGAATCCCCAAAGGACTTACACTGCCCCTCGGACATTTGTCATCGCCAATTTGAGTCACTTGATCAACCTCATGTGAAATTGACAACTTAGGGAGATCAGTTGTCATGGAAACACTTAGGCCTGACGTTCTTCCATTCTTTTCACGTGATAGTTGGAGAGGTATGACTTCTTCTTGGTGAACTGATCTGGCAAATTGCTGCAGCTTTGTGGGGCAGGAGACTTTTCTGGTTGGTCTTAGAGGCGATGATAAAGACGACGGATGATAATGGGATCTTTTTCTACGTACGAATATTGGACTAGCCACACGATTGACGGCTTCGTTCGGCGTTTTTCTCAGAGATGGCATAAAAGGTTCATTAAGAGCATGGCCATTGGGATATGTCGTTGCGAGGTTTATCATTTCTGTTGATCTTGCCTTTGCGCGGTTTAAGTTGTCAGAGCAAACTTGCAGGGAACTTTGACTGAGCGTCTTTCGCAAGCCTCCCTGTCTAACCTCCTTCGTGAACAGCGGATCGGTGACGGAAATTTTACGACGATGAACCAACAAAGTCGCCGCCGGAGATGAACAGTGGTCGGATGAGTTCGAGAGCTGTTTCGAGAGTTGTCGTTTTGTGGCAGTCTTGCTAGAAGTGCTTGAAGAGAGTTTTCTTGTCCAAGCATTCTCAGTTTCATTGTTAGTTTTCACTGAGCCTTTCTCTTCCTTTTGCCTGTCATAGAAACCGGAATCTACAAGATGAAATAGAACAATTTAGTTGAGAGACTCAGAAAAAATATTAACACTGAAGTGATATTCCTCTTTGCAAGTCGCTAGAGTCAGTTATTCTCTCTGATTGTCCATCCTCTTACCCAAGATGATTAGATGTTTCATTTGGTCCTATAACATAAAGAGAACACTTTATTCTCTCTCGTTAAATTTTTTAACTCTTTACGGTGGCCAACTTACAATTTCAACTTAGTTGATATAAACAAATTACCTTGTTACCCCCACCGACGCAGCACCACAGTTTCTTTAAGAAACTTATCCTCCTTATTACATAACAACAAGGAATTTTCATGGAGAAGCAGAATTAAATAAGTACAGACTAGTTCATGCGTTCTATTTTGTTTCAACTGTGGCAAAACTGAGAGATACAAGATACTATGTAATATCAACTAAGTTGAAATAGTAAATTGGCCACCGTAAAGAGTTAAAAAGTGGGGTGTAGGCTTTACCATGGACTCCATTAGGGAGGATATATTGACAAGTGAGGTTATAATTGCACCTCTGGATGGTTTAGGGATGGTTTGTAGTTTACATCATGATTATTATGTTCTATCAACCATTGCTTCAGGTATATGCGTGCCCCACTTGTAATTATTGCGTCAATTACGGATGTTACGCAGGGGCAGATCCAGGAATTTTTGATGAGGGGGGTCCAAACTTTGGTTCAGAAAGGTCTGTTGGACTCTTATGAGGCAATTACTTCTCCCCAACACCCCTCACACCCCCTCCCACCATTCGCGGTTGCACGTTATAATTCCTTGGCCGCTTACCGTTTACTTGGATACATTAATTAAAAAAATCAGCCGGTTAAAAAGTGATATACGATCCTGTCGATGTAAGAATTTCAGTCTCAAAGTTGTAAGCGTCAGGTCTGATGGGGGGGGGGGGGAATCCGGACCCTCCCCCTGGATCTGCCACTGTTACGTTTAAACTCTTTTAAGATTCAGTCATCCATTGCAATAAAAATGTTTCTCTCGTGTAATGGTTCTATTAATAACAACCATTACTGGGTTAACGTTAGACCAAGAAACTGTGATGGAAAATGAAACCGTTTGATAATAATACTATTGATGGCTTTTCTGTCTTTTTGTTTGCTTGGTATTTCGATAGAATTTTTGTAACATTTAGCATTGTTTCTGAGTATCGGTTGTTTTGTTTAGTGTATAATTTGGGCTTTAAGTCGTGACTAAATCAATATCATTTCTGAGTCATGCGGTAGATTACTATCGATTAATTATCTGTTATTATGTATTCCAATTTAAAAAAAAAAAATATGTATTTTTTTAAGATAGCAAAGGCACTTCTTCAGCGAAAGCAGCACGTTAAAGCTTTCCTCGTGTTTACTGGTTTCGGTTCGCCAATTTTTACCATTCAGTATTTCAGTACGTGCATCCTTGGGTGAATATTTTCAATTACTTTTATACTGAACGAAAGTTTACAGCTCCATGCAAGGTTCCAGGCCGAGAATAGGCACATGTGTGTTCCAATCAAGTCATCCATTTCTTTGCTTCCAATTCTCAAAGCATCCAAGAAATTTCTCGTTATTTCAGTGAATTATTCTTGTCTAATGAACTGTTTCAACCGATTTCCAAGGGAATATTGCTGAGTCGGAGCTTCTTTACACGTCGACCACTTGAAGCGCGCTCCGTTTAGACAAACAGCTGACGTGAGAATATATGTATCTTGTTAATAACTACTCGCTAAAAGTACTTCTATTAAACCGCAGCCCTTACCTTCTAAAGTAATATGCTCTAGAGTTGAGTCTTCTAAATCATCCAGGTCTTCCAAGCTTTTTGCCTGATTATCGGGTTTAGTTCCTAAAATCCCGCAGTTTTCATCAAAAGTTACTGTTGATGATATTTTCGTGTACGTCTCGCTGTCGTCAGTGTCTGTTAAAAGCATGATCGGCTGTGATCGGATGGTGACCTGCTCTCGTAAGGTAGAGTGCAATCCCTTGACTTCACTTTGAAGGCGGTCAAGTGTTTTCTGTCTCGCTTTTTCCAGTGAATTCAGCGATATTTGCAGGATTCTGTCTTCTCTTTCGTTTAGCCATCGCACGTTATTGCTCCCATACCCAAGATTTAGCTCGCGTAGATCTGCTTTTCCGCGGGTTGCAACTTTCATGCTCTCCATTACTTGTTAAATAGTCCGGTTCTAAACTTAAAGACGAGGGTACCTCTGCTTAAATACGCCTCTTTGACGTGTTAATCGCTAAACGACCATTAAATTATAAACCATGGAGCAATCTTTTGTCTGATGCTCGCAAATTTTTATGTGCAAATGCCTCTCGCCGATTGACAACTAAGCGAAGGAGAAAAGTGGTTCGTTTGCCCTTGGGATTAATTACTGAGAGATGCCTTTCACCTGTGAACAATAAATTTTCTTTTGTGCACTAATCGACAGACAATGATTATCTGTGCGTCATAATACCTAAGTGACTAAGTAAATCTTTAATACGTTTTCCCTGCGTACGTAGGGCTTTTGTTTCTATTATGCGTATAGACAGGCTGGCTGATGAAATTTCAAACACTTTCAGCTGTTGAAAAAACCCACTGATTCAATATCCAGTGCACTATCCGTTATTAAGGATGTGTATTCAAAGTCAATATTTCAGAGCAGTGATATTCCACGAATTATAAAATATCAAAATAGGCAAGCAGTGGATGTCCAACTTGCAAAATAGGCCTGTTTCATTTTTTTTATATAAACAATCACTTTCTAATTAAAAACTTATGCAAGGATATTCACCAAACTTCACTAATATTTTCTGCTTGAAAATTGCTCGCCCAAAATCAAGAAGATCTAATGAACATTTAATACGAAGACTGGAAAATATGTAATCGTAACCAGAATTTGTCTTGAAAAAGGTAAAGTTCTTAATAGGGTGTAATGATGGTTTGATCTGAAGTGATACGAAGAGTGTATTAACAATAAAAAATGTCTCCTAGCCAAAAATAGAAACTAATAGAAGGTCATAAAACGGTAGTCAAATGGTCGTTTAATGAACCAAAGGCTACACCGATATGCTCAATGTCATGTAAAATTTCTTCCGGAATGGAATTTAAAAAAACTCAGTTCTTAAAATGTGCAAACACTGAAAAGAATTTAAACCAAAGAGAAAAAGTACTGTTGGTGAATTTGAAGATCTGCTCGGGTCTTACTCAGATTTTAATTTAAGAATTTAACCCGTTTTTAGGCTAAAATTTTCGATAGAGCTGACCGTGCAGCTGCATAAAAAAGGCTGTATTGCAACGTCATTTACGAAGGTAATTATCACATTGGGAACATTCTGGACTATCTTAGATAACGAACGTGGCCTTTCACCAGTAAATACCTCAGTCAAGCAGAAGAAAACACTATGAAATAGGTGGTTTTAATCCTTTGAAGCCACATTCTTAATTGCGCAACTCCTAGGATTTTGATCGACTTCATTCAATAGAATCTCCCAGGAAATCGCAGCATCACATGATTTTGCAGATTATTGACTTGATCATGAATGACACTGCATCTTTTAAGCATTTAATGTGTTTTGAGATAGCCCACGCCTATTTTTTAATGAGTTTTATATTGACCTGTTGCAAAGTGTTGTTTGATTGCAGTTGTACGCAATTCAAGTTCCTCCCTGGTAATATACGTATTTCCTAAGGCCTCATCCACACAAACGCGTTTTTGCGCGCTCAAGTACGCACCGACAAACGGTAACTTTTAATTTGATTTCAAAAGTAGATTCTTTTGATAACCGATAGCTTTATTCTTGACGGGATTAGATGGATACGGGCGCTTTTGAAACGAGGCCAATGGAAAGAATCACATACTGTCGCGTTTATCACTGCTTCAGGGCGTTTTAGCGCACCAGAGCGCACGTGATCGTGGCTTTTTTTAACAGCATCCCTCTGTTTAGCTTGTTTTGCAATTCTTTTGTTCTTGCTTAGTTTCGACTTTCCATTAAGTATCATTCGGCTGCTGGAATATTGTTCAAAGAAATTGCAAACTATTGTAATATTATTCCATCGGTTAAACTATCTGTTTAACCGATGGAACTGATGTAGTCGTACCTCGCATTTCAAAGTTGAAACAAAGTAGTCAGCTGTGGAAGAGTGGTAACAATTATTTCCGGTAAATCAAGCACACGTGAAAAGAACGTAAAGTTATTAGTCGTAGACGTGACAAGAATATTTAAAACGAATAGCTTAATTTTTGAACATCCATCTCGCCGCTAATCTGCATAATTTTGAAAGGACTTAGTCAGCATTAAGGATTTTGTGATTGAATATTTAGGAACACATTATAAATGAACCCAGTACACAGTGTATAGCCCAGCTCACAAGGCGCGAGTTTCTATTTAATTCACAGGTAAAGCATCATGCAGCGAAATACCAGGGTTTGATGTTCGTATCTTCATGTGGCTGACATTTGTGATTTTTACTTTGTCCGTTGCTGGTTAGAAATTAATAACGTATGTTAATAACCGAGCTCGAAATGTGTCATCTGTCGTCATATAGAAAAAAAAACACTTATAATTATTCAGTAGGTGCTAGGATTGAGAATAAAGGCCACATCAAGTCAAGATTCTATTACAGCGCGCACTGATTACAACAAACCACGCTATAACGCTGACAAAACATGATGAAAAATATATGAACTTCATATATTCATTGTATCTGATTTATCATCACGGTTTTATTACGAATCAACTTAACGGCCTGCTCCCAGTTGGCTTGTTAGCTCAATTGGTAGAGCGCTGCACTAGTATCGCAGTGGTCAGTGGTTCGAATCCCGTAAAGGCCTGATTTTTTTCAGGTCTGATTTTCGCTATTGCATAAATAGCGCTATCTACTGCGAAGGATCGTGCATCATACGTAAAAATACGCTCGTATCAGATATACTCCACGTTACAGCTAATTCTTCGTTTTGATTCACGCAAACCAACAGATTCACAGCTTATTATTGTAAAACACACCTAAATTACTTATTGACTATGACTCTTGGTACCCAATTCACAAAACAGAATTACATAAACTTGCTCAAACATGTCCGCAACACTTCGTAAACATTTCCAAAACTAAAGTTCAGCTTTGGTCACCACCTTTGGACGAAAGCTAAATGAGAAATTATTGAAATAGCTTTCTACACGTCATCTGTTACTCACTGTCAATTCTCTTTTTGATCTTCTGTTCACTTAGGTAATACACGATTATGCCTTACTAACTCAGCCAATCAAAACATGCCATTCTGTTGACCTTAAAAGCCCTTAACAAATCGTATTACATTTCCCGTCTTCGCAACAACGCGCGTTTGAAATGCAGATGAAATCTCAATGTTTGAAGAATTCTAATTACCCCACCGCGGCAAAGTTTACTGCGACAGATTCTTTTTCTGACACGTTCTGGTTATAAGTGAGAGCTAAAGTGAGTTACATCGGCACAAAGGTTGAAATCGAGTTGCTTCTCTATTGTCTGAAGTTTTTGTCTTCGTGAAGAAGGTGTGGAGTATACGTGAGTGGGTGAGTTGGTTATTGTTTATATTCACTCTGTTCATGTCTTTTGCCTCAGATCTTTCACGCGAGTTATCTGGCGCTGTTTTTCTTTCACAGACTAAAGAACAGACAAAATTACCTGTCATTTTTATTGTTTGAGGTTCATCTCCCTTTCATACGTTCTATTTCATTGGCCAGACTCTAAGAGTTTGAATAGCTGCTAACTTGAAAAGAACAAGTCTTCTATGCACAAGAACAAAGGGCTTCTAATTCCTTGGTTTACTTTGAAGTTAATGCAAAAATGAAAGAGGTTTTGAGCGAGCTCTCCTGCATTTGAAGTAGTCTTTAAACTAAGCGGGATTTTGCAAGGTCATTCACACGGGGGAACCGGAAACTTTTACATCAATGATTTAAAGTAACAGTTACTGTAATGGTCTTTACGAGAGAACGGTTCTACAGGATATGTCATCTAGGCCTCAAATAAACTGTGGATTACTGGATCTTTATGAGTTCTTCTCTATTGAGTGATAACGAACTTAGAGACCTTTCTCTCGATGCTAAACTCGGAATGGATCTAAATTTCAACATCTGCCAGCAAGACACTGATGAGAACAAGCGCTCTACTCATGGCCATGGAATCAAATCAGCAAATGTAATAAACCTGGGAGAAAATGTCCAAGCTGTCGGAACACAGAACGGAAAAAATGAATTTGGAAGCTCTGAACATGTCAGTCTGCCCACAGTTTTTGAAGGCAAAATCACTCATGAAAGGAAAGTGTCTCAACAAGAGAAGTTAACAAATGTGGGTAAGTCGAGTTTGTTACATAACTCTTTTATTGCCGGAAAAACGAATGTTGCCAATCAGTTGTGCTACTTAATCAAAAAATGTAAAGGGAAATTAATTCTTGAGCAAACTCTCCACTCGAACAGAATTTTAGACTGTGCAGACCCTGTAGATATTGGCCAACGTAAAATGAAAGGAGAAAAGAGGTAAAACAAATTCGAGATTCCAACCATCTCGCTTTGCGATGAAATTTATTTGTCTTCTTTCTTTCTCCCTGTTATAACCTAGTCAGGCAAACGAAATGTGTTTATATCTGCAAAAATATTAGGGTTTTCATTTATCTAGACTTGATAAATTTAATTCTTCTGTACACAAGACTCAACACTTTAACATGGGTAAGATTACGTCATAATACTCCAATTCACTTCAGATTCTTCGATCAACGCACTTACTATTTTGTTGACAAACTCAAGTCATTTACGATTCATAATTTCGATGCAAATTTGTTTGAACATGTTAAACCTGGCAAAATCGATTGATTCTTGATAGAGTGATCAAACATCGCAGATTCTTTCAGTTTTTAGTATACGATTTAGATTTTGCCTTCAGCCGCCGGTTTTTATTTTTATCAACAATCTATACACTAATAAAAAACAAAGCTTTTTTCCGTCTTTGTAAACATTAAACAAATACTAAGTTGCCATGTATTTTCTTTCGTATCCATACCAAATGAAGTAACAGTGCACTTGAAAAGCATCGGTACAACTTAAGACAGCCTCAACTGACAAGTTTCTTTAGGGAGAAGGAAGACGAATATTCATCAACCGGTTGCTAAAGGAATAGCTTTTTACAGATAAAGGTCTGCGAGATTCTTTAGAGCAATACCTTTAATCCCGAGTTAAGATTAGATGTAGTTTTGACGTAACTGTCAGGGGTGTAGCAAGTAATTTTTGGCTTGTAAGCCTGTTCCATACCTCGTAAGTATAGTGCGGCTGGCCATGGGGAAGGTATATATATTACAAGAAAAAATAAATATTCCGAGAAGTTTGTAAGCCCGGGCTTATAGGGAGCTACGCGCCTGACTATGAGGATTTGATATCAGCCATGTTTGATCAAGAGAGTGGTAACATTCCCGAAATGAATGATTTCTTACTTATTTTCTCACTTGCAGTTTCTCTGCGGAGGTCTAGGTCAAATCATGACGTCAGACTCACCGATCCTCGCTCCCTGTCCCCATGCTTCCCTCGATTTTCATCCCAAGAGAACCTGGGTTATAACATTCCCAAGTCACCCATTGTAGGACGTACGTTCCAACGCAAAATCTCCAGCCCACTCCCCACAGAATTAAAGAAGAGTTGGCACTTGAGAATTAGGGGAAGAGCGCTTTCGAATTCTCCCTCGGAAGCCCTTATCAGTCCCGTTATCTCGCGCAGGCATCTAAACCCTCAACATGACCTTAACTCTGAGCACCTACAAGGAGGTTTATCGCGCGTTAAGTCTTGTCCCGTAATCAAATCTGATTCAAATGAGCGACTCAACGATCTTCCACTTCCGCTGACAATTAAGTCGTCTTCGGCTGTGCACTCGACCTCCAAACCTCCTGACCGAGACAGATTACCACAGATTCATCAAGCAGATAGCCCAATGTTGGTGCGCGCTCGTAAAACATCCGACGAGAGACCGAGAGAGCTGTTTAATGTGAGTCCCATTATGGGTCAGTCTGGTAATTTCTTGAGCAAACCCGACAAAACAAGCGGCATCCAGTGTGATTCTACCGATAAAGTAGAATACTATCTTTATAGTATGTCGCTTGACGATGACAAAGATTCATTAGCTGGTTTGAGCGAGAATTGAAATGATTCATGCCGTACCATCCTAGATGTATGATGTAGTATTTCAAGATGATGTAAGCTTTGTACCGAACCATGTACGGACAAGAGCTTGTTCTACAGACGATAAACTGCACGTGCCTAAAGTCAAGAGTGTGCTAAAGATTTTATTATGCGATGAACTACAACGAGGTGCTTTGCTTAACTAAATTCAATTCTCCATCACTGTAGTCAGGAGATTCATCATGACCCATGTTCACATTCTGCACATCTTTTGCTTTAAGAAAATGAAAGGCTTTCCACAAAATCTAGGCGAAATGTTTCTCGATAAACCTGATCATGAACTTGTTTTTTGGTCGATGCGAGAGAAAGGTCCTTAGAATTCTTCGACTGGGTTTTGTTAAAGAACAGCGTTTCCTATCCAGACTCCTTCAGAAGACGAACGAGTATAAATGTACCCTTTTCAATTTATTCCGTCGCTAAATAGCAATTCCTTTCGAAAGCTCAATGTTTATTGTAATTCCACTTAAATTCAGTAAAGGTCGGTCTGTAGAAAGTAAAATAGTTTTAATAAAGAACTTAGTAGATACACGTAATACATTGCAACTCATATTTGCACTTCTGCGGTAAAGTACACAAAGATGACAATTTAATAAACACAATTCCTACTCTGATTTGCAACAGCACTAATCTTTTATTGATCATCTGATTCTTCGCCTTCTTTGACACTTGTATGTCCCACGTCTGGAGAGAATCGCCCCAGAGCTGTACGGAGAATTGAGCTCACATCCAAACTCCCTGGAGTAGGGGTTGAAGACCTCCGTAGTTCCCATGGTTTCTGCCGTTTTCCACTTGCGTCTCTCTTCACTCCGACAGGTCGGCTTGGCTTAGACCGTGGATCAGATCCCCTCCTTCCTAAATCTATCGGACAATCTTCCGATAGTTCGCTTATATTTTGAAACGATGCGCTTTTCCTCATCGGTAAATCAATAGCTCCGAACATGTTGTTGTTGTTGTTACTTGGCGATTTTTCTTCCATCTTTTCTAATTTTTGAAGCATTTCGACTGTTCTTGCTCGTGCGGTCGCATCGTCTTTGCTCATTCGCGTGTTTCCTTTTTTGACACGTGATTTTAGGATATTAACTGTAGGATCATTATTCGCCATTATACGATCCGAAAAAAGTAAAGTAGGTTCGAGTTCTTTCCCCACTGGCAACGTTTCGAGATCAACCAAAATTGTGCCCTCCACCAACTATTCCCTTATGGATTAATTGGTATTTCCAAAGGAAACGGTACTGTCAAATGTCCTTTGACTACCAAAATATCTTCATGTTGGTTGGGAGAACTGTGCTTAATCGGTTCTTTTTCAGTTGATCCTTGGGATTATTAAAAGAGATGAAGGCTGCTTAACTCAACAAGAAACATGCCTCAAATGGTAACCAAGATCACCTAAGAATGTTTGATTGAATTGTTTGCAAAGTTTGTTTTTAATGTTTAAATCAAACAAAAAGGCAATTCTGTCAATTCAATTAGCTGCTTGCAAATAAATCCTGATAAATCAATTCCCGATATTGGATATAATTGCATGCTTCTTTCAAGAAATTGTATAGCTTTCAGGCTCATTTTAACGTTTTGACTCCCCCCTGATGAAACTTTTCCTTTTTTCTCTTATTTGTAATGGAAACTAGTCAAGGTAAACGGCGGAATTATTTACAAATCACGCACAAATACGTAATAACATACACTGCTATTGGCTCTATCCGATAATGAGACAGTTATCATGGTTGAGATAATGCTGAGCAAGAATCGGTCGAACTTTTTTTAAGTAAGATAAGGGAGTCAACTAAGTGAAAGTCAAATGAATAAAGGGGGTAAGTTTTATAAAGAAACTGTGCTGCTGCTTCGGTGGGGGTAACAAGGTCATTTGGTTTTATCAACTAGGTTGAAATTGTAAATTGGCCACCGTAAAGAGTTATAAAGCTGACCTTTCGAGAGATAGCCCTACGCCTTTCGCTCTGACGAAGGGCTAACGCTCGAAACGTCAGCTTTTTTAACTCTTTATGGTGGCAAATTTACAATTTCATCTTGGTTGATAAAACCAAATTATAATTACCTAAGGACCCCTAAGTGAAAATCACAACATCAACGTATTCGATGAACAGTTTGAAACATTTACCAATTAATGATCATCTTCTGTTTCAATCTCCTTTAAAGTTTCTTACAAGGTCAAGTTAAGATGTATGCTGCATTAAACTCCGACTTTAACTGGCAAAAAACTCACTCTGGGTCTAGGTGGTAGCTGGAAGTGAACAAGGAAAACCGATCAAAGCACCATTACTGTAGTTAACCGCTATTTCAGTAAAATTTTATATATATATGATCAGTCGATATTTAACGAGCTGACAAATGTAAATTTCAAAGTGGCAAGTTCGGAGTCGCCTTTCTCGCTGGGTGATAGGATCGATAGTTAACATTTTCTCGTTTTCTTTATTAGCATAGATAAAAAATAAGACAGCTCTCCACATATCTGATTATCCCTTAATGTAGAATCGTTTTCTTTCACGACGTACGCCGTTCGAGGAGGGTGAGACCCACAGCACGTTTCCAATAACCGCCATTTTCATCGTTTTTGGACGGGTAAGTGTCAAACAACATCTTCCATAGCGAATTCGCCTGAGTGAAATTGTCGATGTCAATTGCAAATTCAACTGAAGATGGAAATCTAACAAAGAATTCTCTCGCGCTTCAGTTCTTGGAACAGTTCAGTCAGGAGATATTCATTTAACTTTGGGTCGTTTCTGTTAACCATCACTGCATTTATAAGAAATATTTTGATTATTGTTGCTCTCCAGAAGGTCTCGTTGCCATCCGTCGTCGAACGTTTTTCCAGGCTGCCCTGCATGCACAGATCTGGACGTAGGCCTCATTTGACATCCTCTACGTAGTGCAATTCATTTGTCCGGCCATACCACTCGAAGGACTGCTACTACTTCTGGTTCCTTTTATCATCACGAGCTTGTTGTCCAGCAGGGTAACTTTATTAACAATGACTGCAATGAATGTAGACATACTTCTTGCTCTCTTCCTGGGTCTGAGATACAAACAGGTAGTGACTGTGAGGCGGGTAAGGACCCTCGTTGTTACTCTTTGATTCTTCAGCATCTCTGTAGCAGTAATGATATTTTACACCCCCCATGTTGCTGTAAGCATCGCCTGTGCAGTATTTTTATTTTGCATAATAATCTCAGCTTCCTGCTACACCAAGATTTACGGCAAAATTCGTCCCTTTCGAGCACAAAGACAAGACCAAGGTCACCGATGTCAACCAAATGGAGAAGGAATTTAACTGAATAAAACGCGATACAAAACCACAGTGTCCACAGCAAAGTGGGTTCAAATGAAACTACTGGCTTGTTTTCTTCCTTATGACGTATTCTCAAGTTTCATGATTATCACCGGTTTGAAGACACTCCCACTTTACTGAACTAGGTCTTTAACGATATCTCTTACCTTGTTTAACTCGGCTCTAAATCCTTTTCTGTACTGCTGGAGGATGCGAGAAATGAGACAAACAGTGAAGGACATCATCAGACAGTTTTCCTGAAGAAACTTATTTATCACATTAAACTAAGGTCTAGTCAGTGTTTCGGTAGATTTAGTTTCCTTGTACACAACAGTACTACAGAGATGTTTCCAAGAACGACTAAAATCGTTAACAAAATACTGTTTGAGAATGTGGGTCCTGGGAGTGGCTCGATTATTGCCTTTCTCTGCAGCATGTCCAGTTCAACAGCTGAAAACTCATCTGCTGCACCGATTGCGCACAGAATATGAAGAAAATGATGGCTGTGCCCTACCACGTCGAAAACGCCAATCATTAGACGTTCCGGGACGCGGAAGACATACGCAAGCGTCCCGCCCGCGTAGAATAAGCAGTGACGACTGAATTACTGTAGGGATAGAGGCCTGCTACAAGTTAATGTTGTGCTACATAATGATAACATTGTCAAATAAGGTGAAGTGTTAAATAGCCAGGAGCTAATGTAAGTGCCCGCTTTTAAAGCTGCATCGAAACGACTTCTGCTGCAGAACGAGTAGCAACACGCCCACGTGGATGTGAAAGAAATGGCGGCGGAGATGCCAAGGAACAGAGCAGGAATGTTGAATATCATCCAATTTGTGTTCAACGGCCTGGAATAAAAATAAAACACTTGACCGGCTGTGAAGGTGTATATGCTAATGGCAGCATAATCGAAGAAGAAGCAGACGTGACAAGCCTTAATGGACATACAGTTGAACAAGTGCGCGCCGACACTCATGGCGAGCATTACACAAATCCCGAATGCGAAGCAGATCAGCGGATACACGAACGTATCTTCTAATGACTTGTGTTTTGTGAATACTGAAGCAAAGCGAAGCGCGAAAACAGCAAACGCCAAAAGATGACTCCAGATGTTGATCGTCTCGTTAGTGGCTTGAAACAAGCTTTTGAAACAATACCAAGCGGATGAATCACACTTGCGATAGCTCGATATTATATACGGTTGGTGAAAAAGCGAAGGTACTTTGTCAAAATTTACCAAGTCGTTTAAAATGTGAGTTTCCTCCCCAAATTCGTGTTTGTTTGGTACGATGTTCCTGTCACTTTCCCTTTGGTTATTATTTTTACTGACCAGCGTTTCAGTGGCCCCATACACTTTGGATTGCCGATTCTTCATGATAGGATTACTGAAAAATGTTCTTTCAAACACTCTTCTTCAACTGATGCGGTTCAATAATGGTTTTGTTTGGATGACTGCTCTCTTTCTTTGGCTTGTTACCAATTCATTACGTTGTAAATATTCCGCAATTACGCTCATTTTTTTCTGCAATACATTTTCTTAGTTTTACGCTTTAGTTAAAATACCAAAAATTCTTAAAAAAAAAACCCTTTTTCTTCACAGAGAGCTAAATGCAAGCTAAAGAATAAGGAACCTAACCACTCGTTTAATTTGTCCTTTCATTAAATATGAAACAGAGATATTGCCATTTTACCCGTTGGACGGAGTTGCTATTAGAATAATTAATGCTAAATTGCGTTACGAAGTCAAAAAAGCAAACGAAGTGTTAACAGGCATGTCGTATTAGGCGTGTATCCAGCGTTTTTCATAGGAGGGGGTGCACAACTAAGGAAAGACCTAGCCGATGGGTGACGTACCTAAACAAATTCTAAACGCGAAAAATAAGAAAGAAGACTTATGACAAGACAATAACATAACGTGAACTTCTAAGAATACATAGCAAACGATACAACAGATTTTGTAGAACAATTAAACTATGTCAGAAAGCCGCAGCCTATCTCAGGGCCGGGGGGGTGGGGTGCGTACCCCTTGCACTCCTCCCCTAGCTACGCCCCTGCGTATTATAATTGTACAACAACGTTATGCAAATACTAATACCGTAGTGTTGACCTTCATTTAGGCGAGGAAACGTTTTCACCTCCACAAAATTTACACTTGAAGAAGTTAAATTTCAGAGCCTTCAACTAAACAAATGAAACAATGTTCATGGTACTTAGACAGCAGTTCAGAAGAAATTTAACGACGTTCACTTTGGCACCGTATGGTTAATGGATGATGACCAGCAAAACGGGTCGAAAAAGGGTTTTATCGATCTCATCTTACTAGCTGCCATGCTAAATAGCCTTTTATACCCGCGCAGTATGGATTTTTTGTCTTTGCACTGTGTTCATTTGTTCATTAAATGATTCAGTTAAGAAAATAAAACAAATACTGCAGCTCAGGAAGGACTGTCACGATCTCATAATTCCTGTTTAGGCTCTCTAATAGGACGCCTACCTTAAAGGATAATGACTCAATGAAATGTTGAATAGCTGACTGAACGACTACTTGAATGCCGGACTGACTACCGTGCGGACTGACTGACTCACTGACTCACGAACTCGTTGACTGACTAACCTACGGGCTGACTTACTGACTCTCAGACCATCTGACTGACCGACTCACTGGAGGGCTGACTGGCTGAACGACTGGCTGACTGAATGACTGGCTGGCTTGCTGATTGGCTGACTGGCTGGCTGAACGACTGACTGGCTGGCTCTCTGACCGACCCACTGGCTGGCTGAAACTGACTGACTTATCGACTGACTGACTGGCTGGTTGGTTGAAAGACTGACCTACTAACTGACTGGCTTTCTGACCGACTAAATGACTGGAAGCACGGCTGATTTACTGAATGACTGACTTCTGACTGACTGACCCACTCAGCAAGCTACTTCCTGATTTGACTAGCTGTTCGACTCTGAACTCTGCAGCATTGGCTATCATTTGAGTAAGCTGCCGTAGCGAATCTTTTGAAGCTGGGTCATTCAAATTGTAATATAATCTATTAGTATAATTTCAGAGCTGAACAAAGAGTTTCCAGCAATCTGATTGGTCGAGCGGTTCCTTATATGACGCTATATAAACCGCTCCACGCGGTGTATATAAAATGTTAGAATAAAATGTTAATAAATGTTACTAAAATGTTATGATTTAAGAATTTTCTCTGTTGTGCAGCTCTGAAATTATACTAAAACAATTATTTGCCTCAGGTTCGGTGAATATTGTG